GTGGATATAGTCCCACATCGGTTAGGAAGGCGAACGAAGCATGCCATATATATGGGTGTGGATACCTTCCTTGTGAGGAGGCCTTTTGGGGTGGCATGCGTGTCATCGCCAAGAGCAAAACCGTGCGGCCGTGGGCCAAAGCGGACAATATCCTCATGCGGGTTGCTTGGGCTGTTACATTGGTATCAGAGCCGGGGCCCGGATCGGTGTGCCAGCGAGGGCGCTGGACTCCCTTGAGGGGGGGTGGATATAGTCCCACATCGGTTAGGAAGGCGAACGAAGCATGCCATATATATGGGTGTGGATACCTTCCTTGTGAGGAGGCCTTTTGGGGTGGCATGCGTGTCATCGCCAAGAGCAAAACCGTGCGGCCGTGGGCCAAAGCGGACAATATCCTCATGCGGGTTGCTTGGGCTGTTACATTTGGCAGATTAACGTGGCATCTAAATGAAAAAATATGACAAAAGAACGTTACTTTTTATTAGGATATTGTCCTATGACATTATCTTCCACATAAATATGGCACTTTAAATATTCTTTTCTCAATCATAAAACCATGTTTGGGTCTCACAATACCAAATTACGGTTGATCTATGTTGAGCTTTATTCGAGTCAAGCCCAGAACTCCACAAGAGAAGAATTTCTCTTAAACACAATTCCTGTTTCCTTCCTTTTCCATAGTGTCTTATTTAAAGGTGTGCATGTAACTAACATCCTATTTCCATGCACTAGATAACTAAGATAATAATTTAAATTGCAGAATCAAATAACTAATTGATAAACATAAAGATAAAATAAAAGTAATCATGAGATAACAAAATTTGTTGCCCATGATGGTGCTCCCTTAATTCTCGGTTCTTTCTTCCTATTTTCTTGGGGTGTATCAGTACCCCTCCCATGGAAAAGGACCTTGTCCTCAAGGGCTGCCTTGGTATAGAGTTCAACTAATAAATCCCATGACTCCCAAGTAGCTTCTTCACGTGGTTTCCCGTCCCATTCGACTAGAACTTGGTATTGGTCTCCCAATTCCGGGGTGGTAACGTTGCGTTGTGCGATGATAGCTTGAGGTGTAGGCAGTGTGCTTGGTGGGGAGTTGTTATCGCAAACTACTGCTGTTGGAGGGATAGGACCTTTGTATGCTTTAAGCAAAGAAACATGGAAAACTGGATGTATCTTACTGTGAGGTGGTAGGTCCAACTTGTATGCGACCTGGCCGATGCGTTCCATGATACGAAATGGTCCAAAGTATCGCTTGGAGAGCTTAAAATTAAGCCTTCGAGCTGCGGATTGTTGGCGGTAAGCATGGAATTTAGTCCACACCCATTGGTCCACTTCAAAGCTCTTGTCCATGCGCTTAGAATTGGCATACTTTTGCATGCGATGTTGTGCTCTAGTTAGGTTGGCTTGTAGCAGTTGTTGAATTTCTTGGCGGTCTACCAAAGTTAAATCAACTTCATCCACAGATGCTGTGCCTGGGGTGTAAGTAGGCAACAATCTTGGGTTGGAGC